CTCGAACCACCTCATCGCAGAGTCCCCCAAGCTCATAGGGAACACCCGGCATAGAAACCGTTGGTCCGAATGATAGAGGGACATCATCTGCTTATATTGTCTGATATGGGCATCGGGATCAGATCGCCCATCGTAGGCCTTGAACCGTGGCACGACGAACTTTCTTGAGATATCCATCTCACTGATTTCCCTCGTGAAGGGTGTTTGCATGACTTCGTCCTCGGCCTCGTCCTGGACCGTCTTACCCTTTCTTCTGGAGTCTAATCGGGCTCTGAGATCTACTTCTTCCCTTACGGGATGCCTCCTGAAGTCCCTGGGTTCGTCGGTAAGCCCCTCGTCTCCCGGGCGTCGTGTAGATTGGGTCGAGTCCTCCTCGGATTCATCTCCCTTCTTCCGTCTGGACAAACCTCGCCGGAGGTCGTCCAGGGCCAACGGCCTCGCCTTCCTGGAATGGTTGTCAAGATGGCATTCGCCAGCTCTGGGTCGCTTCGGGGCCCTGGAGCTTTCTGCTTTGTGATCCAGGTGGTTTCTTAGATCCTTTGTGTCCGCCTCATGGACGGGGAGCCCTCGGGAAAGGAATGAATTCCTCGACCCTCCGCCTGAGGCGGCAAACTCGTCGAGCCGGCTAAGGACGTTTACATTGTCCTTCTCCAGCTGACGTAACCTATCGCCAAATTTCTCTTCTATCACCTCTGCCAGCTGACGGGCCAAGGGGGCTGATCCTCCTGACCTGATCCCCATACTGGTTTGAGGGGTTACCCCCCTTGACCGAGTAGAGGCACTTTTAATCGTACTGGTGCGATCCCTCCCTCCGTGATGGCAGGGAGCTTGTAACTCAAGACTCCTTTGGTGGGGTCCTTTCCCTTTCTGTCTGGTGTTCACCATGGTCACTGTTCTTTATAGAGAAAAGATTAGGAAAACTACTCGTTTCCCACAGACGGCGCCAGATTGTGCGGGCTTGATCCTGCACGATATATATAAAATATTGGGAACAGATCTCTCCCCTGGTGAACTTTGGGTGAGCCGGTTGAGTGGCCAAACACGCTGCTTGAAACAGCCTACAAGGTACGGTGGCAACCGGAAACGGCAAAGGGAGATCCTGGGAAAGGAGGAACGATCCTGTACGTGTGAAAGGTATTTCCTGGAACAAAGGAGAACAAGTTAGAAGGGCGCCGGAGTGTTTTCCGGCGTATCCCCTCCGACGGTCTAGTCAGTCTTTGAATGAGAGAGAGGAAGGAGAAAACACTGAGAAGGATATTTCGTAGTAGAGAGTTTGTGATTGCATACCCGCTTTGTCTTTTGGGAGGGGTATTTATACCTTAGAAGATCATGATTGCTGTCAGTGTGGTCAGTAGGTGATCATCAGGCACAGGTAGCGTGTGTAATCATTTGATGAGGAATGTCTTCTCTAATTGACTGCTCGGGGTCCCGAGCAATCAATGCTGAGTCGTCGGGACGCCGACGGTACAATATGCTCCTTTCGGGAAGGATGCAATAAATGCTCTGTAATAGGAGCATTTATTGCCTTTCATATCCGAACCTTACCGCATTGAATGCGGTCTCGTCAACAGAAGGGTGCAATTAATTGTTTGCTTTCCCAAGTCGCGTGTCAGCAACGGCATGCGGTTTGTCTGCTTCGGATGTGACATTATTTGCCACGCGTCCATCCCTTATTGGCTGTGACGTCGGTATTCCAGAACGTTCTGACATTACTTGTGCAAGACGAGGTCATGATGAATAGTTCAGACTGGCATAGGCTGATGTCCAGTACGTCAGTAGCTTTATCCGGGAGTAGAGGAAGCGTCCAGGATGGAGTGACCCTCGGCACCGAGGAAAGACTCACCTCGGGGACCGAGGTGGTATGTTTCCGAGCTACAGGGTGACCGAGGACACGTGTCGTTGTAAAATGCACCAAATATGTGATCCTATATGAGAGGTACCTCGGGGGGAGGGGACGCTTTTTGCCGATGGTGCTTGAACCCGAGCAACATTGTTCTAGAAATCCCCGAGGACACGTGTCTTCATCATAGGACTTTTCAGAAGAGTCCCATCAATATATATATATATATATATATTTATTTATTATTTTTTTTTGGCTATAGATAGAGCAAAAAGATAATATTAACAATGTATATTGATATTTTTTGTATATTCCAATACGTTATACTTAGGATGCCGTTACCCTTGCCGTTGGTAGCCGCCAAGGCGTGAAATATTCGCCAGAAAAAAACCAACGGACAAACGTCTGAAACGTGTAAGTTTGTCTCTCTCTCTCACCTACTCCCAAACATTATAAAATATTATACATACAGCTAAGTTCATTGCACCACCCAACCAAGCTATATCTACAGTTACAACCAGAAAAAAAAAATGCTTTCAATGGAGGTTTAGTGAAGAGGGTTTAGGTCCACCAACTGGTGGTTAGCGTTGGAAAACCCAGCCCTCAAGCAAACACTTAGCAACCACAATAAGAAACAGTAGGACGAGATAACCACCTTCCAATTTTGGGTGAGCAACGGTAATATTGTTCTATTGTGATATAAAGGTCTTGAATTCAAATTACGAAATCTCTGCTTTTCTTAACACACAATAGCGGGAGCATTGCGGAGGCTCGTGCACTGCCAATGCCCAGACAACCACCTTCCAATTTTGGGTATTGAAGAACCTTCTTGGTTCCTATGGGTTTGTACTTACTGTCCCCACGTGAGAAAGGTGGAATGATTGATAAAGGGTATGGTATTTTTAGTTTGAAAGATGGAAGATTGTGGTTGGTCATTCTTGGGTTTATTTTAATTAATTATTGGTAGTTGTTTGAATATAGTATTGTTGGTGTCATTGTTCAATGATAAGGAAGGTGGACTTGGGATCTCTTGGGATCATTTTTAGCTCCGTTTGGGAAAGACATGATTTAAGCCAATTGGGTTCGGTTTTCAACCATCCTCTCTCTCTCTCTCTCTCTCTCTCTCTCTTGTGCCCAATAGAGGGTTCCACTGCAAATCATTCTTTTCCCGAGGTTTTCAGGTACTTTTCACTTCTTTCCCTTTTGCCTTCTCTTTGTTTCTTCATTCTGCTAGTTGATAGAGCTCCAAATTTTTGGGCTTTAGCATTCATCCATGAACTACATGATGACACTGCTTATGATCCCAGGAGACCAATGGAAAAAGGAGCTTTAGAAGGGGAAAATTTCCTTTCTTGTTCTCGGATTATGATATTTGAGCAGTTTGGTGATGTGTTTTTTTCTAGTGTTCTTGTAATGTTTGATAGAAACTGAACTTGTTGATTAACTCTCGCTCTCTCTCTCTCTCTGTTGATTTAATGGATTATTGTTAGCCATGTTTACTATATTGTAGACTTCATGATATTTTGCATCCATAAAGGACTTAAAGGGTGCTTCTGATACGAGTATCAGTGCGTGAGCTACATCATGATGGTTTTAATGATCAGAAGAAGCTACCTGAAAATTGGTCTAAAAATTCCTGGAATTTTGTTTTATTTCACTAACTTATAGTATCTGTAGCTACAACAATTAGAAATTGGAAGATCTTGTCGTTTTTGTCTGCAAAACTTTAAAGGTGCATCCATTAGTTGTTCTATTCATGATCGCAGTGACGGGTTTTATTGTTTGAGTTTACTGGTACATAATACTTTGCAATTAATTTTGACGTTTTTAGTCAGGATAGCAAACACATTTTGTGAATTGTTTAAACGATTGAGATAGTAACCAAAATTTCTTTCTCTGAATTCACAGGATCACCCCATCAGAGACAAACACTGGTAATGCTTTGAATTTCTTTCGCGGCTCTCTGACCTGCAGCCTCTGAAACTGAGGAAGGGAAAGATGGCTACCTATTATCAGAGTTTAAGCAATCAAAGAGACGTCTTGCCATCCTTATACTTGCAAGACCAAAAACTTGCTGCATACCATGAATCACTTCATCTGCCTGGTAACAAAATGGATCCCCACCTAGCTTCTACTGCTGCATCCCATGAGATGTTTTCCGGGAATTATTTAGGGATTCCTTCGGGTGGAAGCAGGAATGAAATGGTGTTCAGTACACAAGAAGGGGATCCTGGAAGTATGCAGTCGATTGGTGGGAATACAAACATTACAACAGGTGTTTCGAATGATAACTGTGTCTCCCAGGGTTACCAGATGGTTTCAAGAACACTTGGAATGTTAGATCATGAACAAAATATGCACTTTCAAGAGTTATCTCTCACCATGGGCACGCAGATATCATCTGCAGGTCATGTACCTTCAATTCAAGACCAGTTTACGGGTCCTGGTCTTTCTTCCTTATTGAGTTCTCATGTTCCAGATACAGGGGAAGACTGCCTTGATTTTTCAGGAGGTATGCGCTGTGCAACCAAAGTTGGGGCTTTGAACAACCCTCTATCTTCAGTAAGCACCAAAGATATGTGTTCTGATCATCTGTATGAACGATCAAGTGTTCCATGTGCAATTTTGAACTCTGAATATCTCAAGGCTGCACAACAATTGCTTGATGAAGTGCTTAATGTTCAGAAAGCTCTGAAGCAGCCTGAATCAGAAAAACATCACAAATTCCATAAGTTTGGTTTGGATGGCTCCAAAGAGACTGATGATACATCTAAATCATGCTCTGTGCTTCCCCTAGAGAATGCAATGACGTCTAACCCTCAGAGATCAACTACCAATTCCCCTCATGGACATTCACCTACCGAACAACAGGATTTGCTGAGCAAGATGACCAAACTTTTGTCCATGTTGGACGAGGTAAGCTCTAGCCCCATTACCTATGGCGTTCTGGCTTCGATTAGGTACTGACAGACAGCCCTATAACCTGTGAGTCGAACACTCAGAAATTTTTTTTGAAAGAAAATCTTCTCTTTTGTGGAAGAAGATATTTGAATAGTTTCAACCTGTAATTAGTTGCAATTCAGCCAACTTACCTTGTTTACCCCCATTGAAAATATGTTTTGCTTCGTTATTACTTGAATGACTTTCGTAGAACAATTTGGTACTATTACAATTTAGCCAATCAATAGCAGTTTTGGGTTTCAAGATTTACTAAAATTTGCACACCATACACTGTTATTCAAATCTAAGTAAAAAGCAACTATCTCCATTTAGATGAAGTCTCCATTCTGAACTTTAACAGGTGCAAATTTTCAGTTTGTGTCCAGGTTGACATCATTTGTATCATAGCGGAAGTTTCTAAAGACCATGTGTCCATACATACATCCAGGTGTTTGTGTAAAATGAGTAGCATTAGGTGATCTCTATGAGCAGCCTATATCCGTCAACCTAAAGCTTATCAATAATTGCATTATACAACTATGGCATTTCTTATTTCCTGGGCAAAAGTTGTTAGGAAAGTTGTTAGCTATAGTTTTTCTTTGTGAACAGCTTTCATTATAACTCGACCAGTTCTTGTGGTTCCCTTTTAACCTTGTCCTGTGTGTATGTGCGTGCGTTTGTACTTTGTGTGTCTCTGTGGACTGCAGTTATTGCAAAGGATTCTCTGTGATCATGTTCTTGTTGTAGGTTGATAGAAGATACAATCAGTATTACCATCAGATGCAAACTGTGGTATCATCATTTGAAATGGTGGCTGGCTTTGGAGCTGCTAAACCATATACAGCGCTCGCACTCCAAACAATTTCCCGTCAGTTCCGCTGTGTGCGTGATGCACTCAGTCAGCAGATTCGAGTGACTCGGCAAAGATTGGGGGAGGTAGATGCTACATCAAATAGCCAAGGAGGGGGATTATCTCAACTCCGGTATGTGGACCAACAGCTCAGGCAACGAAGGGCCCTTCAGCAGATAGGTATGATGCAACATTCTTGGAGGCCACAAAGAGGATTGCCTGATAGCTCCGTTTCCATCCTTCGTGCTTGGCTTTTTGAGCATTTCCTTCATCCGTAAGTGTTTGGAAATCTTCTTTCCCATTTGTACTTCCAATTACCAGTGCTTTTCAGTCCTAATAAATCTGATTTGCATGTTTCATCAGTTACCCCAAAGATTCGGAGAAAATCATGCTTGCAAGGCAGACGGGACTGAACAGAAACCAGGTACGATTTTCAGGACACTATTAACTGTGACTCTCCTTGATGCAAGTGCCTCCCACTAACTTGAAACTTTTTAAATGATTCCGCCAGAAATTTCTTAATGAATGCTTTAGAATTTCTAGCAGTGATGTTATGAATTATGTATAAATGGATCTTGTTTTTCATGCTGGTCATGTGGTAACTTGTTAAACTTGCCCTTTGATCAGGTTGCAAACTGGTTTATAAATGCAAGGGTGCGTCTTTGGAAACCGATGATTGAAGAGATGTACAAAGAGGAGTTCGGTGATTCTGAGGCCGACGCTAAATCTTCACCAGAGCAAGCAGCCAAAGCAAAAGAAGAGTCGTGGGCTACTGAGCATAGGGAGGAAGAATTGCAAGTGCGGGTAACATCTTCAGCTGCTGACTATAAACCTGATTTTATCCTTGACGTAGGTATAAAGGAGTGCACAACAAGAGATTGTGGAGTAATGAAACTGCCAGGTGACAAAAGGCCTAATAAGGATGACCACAGCTTTTGTTCAGATCAGACCACGCCACCTGACCATTGTGGCGATGGGAGTCTTATGTCTGGTGCTGCCACATCAGATACGTTTGGTTTTCCATTTAGCAATCAAGAATCACTTGCATTGGGATTGCGGCACAACAAAAACGATCCCCTGCTTACGTCTGGAGGGATGCAATTACAGGGAGTTGACACAGCAGAATCTGAAGTTGGCGTTGACAAAGCAGAATTTCCTTTTTTGGATCCTGTAAACCAACAGCACAGGTTCGACAATCCCCACCTGGTATATGATTTTGTGGCATGATATGAGTGCTTCCCTGCAACATCCTGGATGAAAATAAACTCTCTATAAAGAGAGAGGGAGACGGATAGAGCGAAAGAAAGACATCTTTTTCCTTGACCTTTTAGTTTTTGTATCATTTGTTTTGCTTGTATACTGATAAAAAGTGATAGAAGGTTGTGTGAATACTTATATCGATATAGGTGTGATTTCCATTCGTGTATAGTAAATAATTTGTTGGAAAAAGCTTAGGTTATTGTAATGATAAGATGACATTAAAATTCTAGATTATGGATAAGTAAAATTGTCCACTTACTCTCATAAGTGTGACTTCAATGTATCATTTCTTTTTGAATAAATGTAATTGTATAGATTTGCTTATTCATTTGTCACTAATAACTTACTGGTTAAACAGGCTAAAGTAAATCAAAGAAGTGCCATTACTTTGTCTTGTTATTCATACTGTTTGCAAATGTTAAATTATTTGGGTTTTGTAATTCTCAAGAGAGATCCATATTTGCAAAAATGCTAATTAAACATCACGTAATCATCTTCGACTAATTTTCTTTCATTGTCATGTGTGTTATTTCTATCTTCTTGTTTATGAGTTTGTAAAAGTTCCATCATCTCTTTTCTTGCCATGTTTACAATTGCACCATGATAGTAAAAGCTCCTTTAATTAGTAGGTTGAACTCTTGATCATTGGCATTTATATTATAACGTTGTGAACTAACCAATTTCTGAATCTCCCATGTCTCGTCCATTCCCAAGTTTCTTAGAAATTTTCAATATACATTCATATAGGTATGGACTAATCCTGGATTGTATAGTTAAATGACTTGCCTTTGTAGTGGTTATCCCAGTTTGTGTTTCTATTGAATGATTGCATGAGGTCTGTCAATCAGAAGTCAAGATTTTTAAATCTTGAAGTTCATCTCTTTGAACTCAAGGGCACCACTGATGATAGTATATTAAAGAGTTCATGCTGCTTAAATGCACAATACACAGCTTTTCTGTTTTATTTCTCCTAAAAATTCAAAACTATTGGTTTGTCCCCATGAAACCAAGTTCTTAATAGTATCATATAATGGCAAATTTGGCTAGTTCTACATAAGGTAAAAGAGTTTTGCACAAGCATCATTGATAATCAATTGCAAAGCATGCACTTTTAACTTGCATCTGCCCACATGGTTGTTAAACTTAAAACACTTAATTGTGTAGGTTCAGAAAAATCAGAAGATCATGGAGGCCTAACCTAAGACTACGTACTTATGGTTCTTCCTAGACCCGACAGTAATCTCGTGCACTGATTACCATTTTTATGCACATAATCATATCTTAATGGGAAGGGAGGAAGAATGCATTTGTTTGTTTTATGTTTTTGTTGTTAAAACAGTAGTTGCTTTGATTTTAGAGTGGGAAAATGATATTGCCTAGGCTTTGAAAGTGAACAAGGAAAACAGAACTCCTATTCAAGGAACTACATTTTGTTTTGAAACGGTTAAAATATCCGAAACGTTTCCGTTTTCATAGAAATCAAAACGAATCATTGATTAAATAAAATTCTTATATTTTCGAGATGTTTTGGTAGGTTTTGAGGTGTTTTGACCTATGTTTCGACCAATGTTGCGGAAATAAATTTTCAGATTTTTCTTTGTGTTTATCTTATTTCCAAAATATTTCCGAAACATTACCAAAATATTTTCGTTTTTAAGTTCACCGAAACTATGCACTGAACCAAAATTTTGATACTTCCTCCTATTGTAAAATGTACCGAAACTCTGCAAACTGTGCATACACTTTAATCAGTGGGTGGACCATGAGGTTCTATTAAACAACGAGATTTTCCCCAAACCAGCCCCCCTAAAAACTTATTTCCAAAACCCAGTCAGTGTTTAACTTATTTTCCAAACCCAGCTACTTTTTGAAAATGTCATTTGTAATGACGTCTTCTTATGTAAAAACGTCATTTTATATGACGATTTAAAGTTGAATATTTATTTACAAAAACGTCATTACAAATGACGTTTTTAAAATTGTCATTTGTAATGACGTTTTGTAACAAAAATGTCTAACGGACCCCTAACAGACGTTTATAAAAAATATAGGGACAAAAACGTCATTTTCAATGACGTTTTTATACCTTTTATGTTATTTAACAACGTTTTCTGCCCAAAAAGTGCCACCAACTTATAATAAATGTCATAAAAGTTAAATAACTCAACTTTATTGTAAATTTTAGAATTTAATTCTTTTAGCGTTTATTTTGACGTTTTCTACTCCTTAGCCTTTTACATTGACGTTTTCTACCCCAAATGTCATAAAAAGTAAATAACCTATCTCATATCATGATTCACCAGAAAACAAAATAAAAAAATTTTGAAATTTAATTTCCTTTGACAATTNGTATCATTTCTTTTTGAATAAATGTAATTGTATAGATTTGCTTATTCATTTGTCACTAATAACTTACTGGTTAAACAGGCTAAAGTAAATCAAAGAAGTGCCATTACTTTGTCTTGTTATTCATACTGTTTGCAAATGTTAAATTATTTGGGTTTTGTAATTCTCAAGAGAGATCCATATTTGCAAAAATGCTAATTAAACATCACGTAATCATCTTCGACTAATTTTCTTTCATTGTCATGTGTGTTATTTCTATCTTCTTGTTTATGAGTTTGTAAAAGTTCCATCATCTCTTTTCTTGCCATGTTTACAATTGCACCATGATAGTAAAAGCTCCTTTAATTAGTAGGTTGAACTCTTGATCATTGGCATTTATATTATAACGTTGTGAACTAACCAATTTCTGAATCTCCCATGTCTCGTCCATTCCCAAGTTTCTTAGAAATTTTCAATATACATTCATATAGGTATGGACTAATCCTGGATTGTATAGTTAAATGACTTGCCTTTGTAGTGGTTATCCCAGTTTGTGTTTCTATTGAATGATTGCATGAGGTCTGTCAATCAGAAGTCAAGATTTTTAAATCTTGAAGTTCATCTCTTTGAACTCAAGGGCACCACTGATGATAGTATATTAAAGAGTTCATGCTGCTTAAATGCACAATACACAGCTTTTCTGTTTTATTTCTCCTAAAAATTCAAAACTATTGGTTTGTCCCCATGAAACCAAGTTCTTAATAGTATCATATAATGGCAAATTTGGCTAGTTCTACATAAGGTAAAAGAGTTTTGCACAAGCATCATTGATAATCAATTGCAAAGCATGCACTTTTAACTTGCATCTGCCCACATGGTTGTTAAACTTAAAACACTTAATTGTGTAGGTTCAGAAAAATCAGAAGATCATGGAGGCCTAACCTAAGACTACGTACTTATGGTTCTTCCTAGACCCGACAGTAATCTCGTGCACTGATTACCATTTTTATGCACATAATCATATCTTAATGGGAAGGGAGGAAGAATGCATTTGTTTGTTTTATGTTTTTGTTGTTAAAACAGTAGTTGCTTTGATTTTAGAGTGGGAAAATGATATTGCCTAGGCTTTGAAAGTGAACAAGGAAAACAGAACTCCTATTCAAGGAACTACATTTTGTTTTGAAACGGTTAAAATATCCGAAACGTTTCCGTTTTCATAGAAATCAAAACGAATCATTGATTAAATAAAATTCTTATATTTTCGAGATGTTTTGGTAGGTTTTGAGGTGTTTTGACCTATGTTTCGACCAATGTTGCGGAAATAAATTTTCAGATTTTTCTTTGTGTTTATCTTATTTCCAAAATATTTCCGAAACATTACCAAAATATTTTCGTTTTTAAGTTCACCGAAACTATGCACTGAACCAAAATTTTGATACTTCCTCCTATTGTAAAATGTACCGAAACTCTGCAAACTGTGCATACACTTTAATCAGTGGGTGGACCATGAGGTTCTATTAAACAACGAGATTTTCCCCAAACCAGCCCCCCTAAAAACTTATTTCCAAAACCCAGTCAGTGTTTAACTTATTTTCCAAACCCAGCTACTTTTTGAAAATGTCATTTGTAATGACGTCTTCTTATGTAAAAACGTCATTTTATATGACGATTTAAAGTTGAATATTTATTTACAAAAACGTCATTACAAATGACGTTTTTAAAATTGTCATTTGTAATGACGTTTTGTAACAAAAATGTCTAACGGACCCCTAACAGACGTTTATAAAAAATATAGGGACAAAAACGTCATTTTCAATGACGTTTTTATACCTTTTATGTTATTTAACAACGTTTTCTGCCCAAAAAGTGCCACCAACTTATAATAAATGTCATAAAAGTTAAATAACTCAACTTTATTGTAAATTTTAGAATTTAATTCTTTTAGCGTTTATTTTGACGTTTTCTACTCCTTAGCCTTTTACATTGACGTTTTCTACCCCAAATGTCATAAAAAGTAAATAACCTATCTCATATCATGATTCACCAGAAAACAAAATAAAAAAATTTTGAAATTTAATTTCCTTTGACAATTTTTTTTAACTAATTTTATAATCGAAAATAAAATTCATAAAAGCATAATTTAATTTCATATTATATATTTAAAAATTATCAAAAAGTATGTTTTGTATATGTTAAAAATATCAATTTTTTAATCTCAATTTTCACGTCATAAAAGTATCCCAATGTGGAGGATCTTTTCCCCAAATCTAGTCGGCCCGAAAACTTTATTTCTCAAAGTCAAGTTTTTTTTTAAAACGTCATTTTAAAGGCCTACAAAAGTGTGTTGAACTTTAAAATATGGAAAATATTACTTATGGAAAAACGTTATATTTTTTAAATATTTTTGTATATGATAAAATAGTATGTATTTCAATTATATGTTATAAGTTCATTGAACATTTATAGTTGACCTACAAAAGTGTGTTGAATTTTAAAATATGGAAAATATTACTTATACATTACAACATTAAAAATTTTATTACATCAAATTGTAAGAAATACAGTCTGTCAATATTTTGCTTGATGTAGAAAATAACATAGAGGGTTTTCTAGTACATATAAACTCGATGGAATAAAAGTGTCAGACGCATCATCACTTAAATTGGAATAATCAGACAGTTCTGTACCCGAAACAAATAACAGATCCTGCAAAATTTCAATCTTAGCATACTCAAGATTGAAATGCTAAATTTTTGCATGGTCAATTGCATGCAAACAATCAAGTCTACGCTGCATTTGCTCATTTTCACGTTCAAGTTTTGCTATGATCTCGTTATGGTTGGTGGAGTTTTGTGGATCATATATATCAACCGAACGTTCCTTCGGT